ACTTCTCCGTTTATCATTTCGTAGTACTATTTTAAAACTCAGATAAATAAAAACCATGATCTCAGTTTTACAAAAAATAAATCTCAACATCTATTATAAAAAAATCCAAAAAAATTGATTTTAAATTTTGGTTTATTGTGAGGTAAAATTGACGTTTAAAAGTTTTTAAATAATTACTCTGTTTTATTAAAAAAATTTTTTATATATCAATTTTTTTTATTAAAAAATATTTATTAAATATTTGCAAAATACTGTTTTGAACAAAGTTACTAACATCTGCTATAAAAATATGACTTATCATGATATGTTTCTACGAGGCGACGAAATTTCTGCATTTATCGCGTAGAAACAGGTTTATAACGATCGATCGACCATTGCGGCACGCTCGGACAGTTTTTCGGTTAAGTTAAACTGGTCCCAAAGGCAATTTCCTGAAAGTTGCCGGCTCACATTAGGCGGATACGCTTGGGACACAGGTGCGTTTAACGTGTGTATTTCACGGTTTAATGCGAAGATCACACAGGAACAGGTATGCGGGACAAGAGGCGTCTGTATAGGTGATACGCCACCTGCCGCACATAATGATGATGTAATGACTCAATGAAACCCTATCTTTATTGTTTCTATCTTAAATTGCCGCGACTACCAGGACACCCTTAGCGGCTGTTACCAATTTTCGGACGAAAAGGCCACCTTTCCTACTTTTCTAAGTGCTCAGAGGGTAAGGTAAAATAACAATTGCGCTGTTTATTCCTTATGATAATTTTCTCGGAAGCTAATATACGTTTGCTCTATTAAAAAAATAATATCTTGTCAAAAGTAATTACGCTGCCGTAAAATAATACTAAAGCCGTGTTTTCTTAAATGTATATGAATATAGTACATTTGTATAAAATACATATGTTCTATCAATACGCAGGTGGCAAATATGCTATCTTACGCTGATTTTATTATTTTATTTTATTCTCTCGTGGTATCATGTGCTAGATGTCCAATGTGTTTCCAATGTGTAAAAATTTATTTCCCAGGATGCCATTTCGGCATTCTTCAATCATTAAACTACCGTCGCATCGATCTTCATCGCCGAGACATGTTGGCGCGAATAGGAATCGCGACAATAAAAAACTGATGTGAATAAAAGTACAACATCAAGCGACGATCTTTAAAATTATTCCGCGTCATTAGTCACGCACACACAAATGGCTGACAATATCAAGACGGCGTACTCTGCATTCTTGCGATACTGTGTTGCGCAATACATCTGTGTTACAACAGTTCGCCGTCTTGCAAAGTTTACACTTCTTTCACGTTTTGTGGTGAAATGTTGGTAAAACCCAGAAACAAATTTATCGCGTTGTTAAATCTTCTACACTTATATGCCAGCGGTCAGTTATTTTAACACTGAAGCGTAGAGTTTATTTGTTTTAGAAAGAAATATCTCCAAACTTTTTCGTTGACATTTGCAAATTGTTGCTTTCTGCTTGGGGAAAACTGTTGCTCATAGATCAAAAGATTAATCCTTTTATTTTTTTGTCAGAGTTGCCACTCTTTTTTTGGCCCTTTTTTCCGCAGAATTCTTAATTACGCTTGCATTTCCTTTTCTCTCAGGAGAATCTAATAAGTTTTTTTTAAATACATATTTTTTTAAATATTGTTGTTAACTTATCAATGTTAGGTTTGTTTCAAAATTCTCATAGTTATATTTGTCAATATTAATCGATCGATTCAAACGCAAGTGGCCTGGAATCACGTACTACGAAAATGAAATCCATAATGGTCGATGTGCTGTTACTATTGTCCTTTGGTTGCGTGTAAAGAGGCAAAAACGGTTTCAACTTTCAAGTGCCCGCACCACCTTGTCATTTCGCTCTCCGTCGCCCTTCTGCATTGGAGTGCTGTCGTGGTAGCTTTTTTCTAGCTTTGATGGAGCGCCTCTTCAGTGCGCATAAGATGAAATGAATTAGCGCACTGGAACCAGAAATCGGTCGCCGCCGACAACAATTCTGTTGCAACCTCTCTCCGTCTCTTTCCTCTTTTTATTTTTTATCCTTTTTCTTGCTTCGTTTTTTATCATCGTCTCTTTCCCTCGATTTTTGAGTTACAGACCGTTGCAATCGTGTTTCACGAATTTTTCTACAGAGTATGTCGCGGGTTTGCTCGGACTCATTAGAACCACTCGAAAGTAGACCCTCTCCAGTAGTCCAGTTCGAATCGCAATGATCTGACAGGATTACTGAATAGAAACGGTTGCAAAGAGAGTTGCTAAAATAGTAGGAAATGTCGCCGCGATTACGTCAGACTTGGTCACTTGGACGAAATTTAAATCAATTAAAAATTTAATTATTTATGTATCAATAATGATGGAATGTTTGTTTTGCTTTACCTTTGCCTTGTCGAATTGAATAATTCACGTAATAAGGCGGAAAAATTTGTTGTATTAATTAAACAAATTAATTAAAAATTAATTAAAAATGCGAGAAAAAAGATTGAGAATATGTATTGCGCATATTAATTTTCACCTACTACAATGTTACGGATATCTTAAATTTTCCAGTCAGATCGAAAGAGAGGAAAATGAGCAATACATAATATTGCATAATATCGCGATGGCTTTGCCGTGCACCAATGCAGGCATGCAGATTGTCTCGTGGAACTTGGTAAAGTAAACCGAATAACGTTTAATACACTATCATCATTTTCTCCGGATGTCGCACGGGGAATTAGGTTTCTCGACAACACGGAGAGACGAAATGGGCTTAACCCAGCAGTTTCTCATTAACGCAATCGGTACGAGGTTCCACGACGTGGAAGGACATGGCAAGCGGAATCAGCCGACACACGCGAATACCGATGGGCGTACAAAGGAGCGGTTGATATCTACATATCATTCGCGCTGTCGGTGATCCGATTGCATCCGCCGCGTGACGAGACGTGAGCACGCGAGGGCCCGGAAAATTGAATTGCGATTGGACGTCGCGGCGGGAGATCATTTAGCCCGACGCTGCTGTGAGTTACCGAAACATTAAATTGAATTGAAAAGTGAAACACGGCGGATCTTGTTACCAGGTTCTTTTCCGTAGCTGCCATTAAACGTATACATATAAAATACTTTTTGAAACTTTTTCTTACCTACTATTTTATATAATCTGTATTTGATTAAAGGCGTCGTAACTCAGGAGCAACTGCTACTTCAGGTATCAAAAATCAGAAAAGCCGTCGGGATTTAAGAGGCACTCCATACATCACTTATACTCGCATTCACGCTTCAGACTTTAACTACCATAACCGAATGCGTTCTCTAACACTCTCAAGAGGCGAGAAATTGTCGCCGAATCCGCATTCCTTAAACGTCCCTTAGATTCACTCCAAACGATCGTCAAAAGCACCGGCCGCCGTTGTGCGGGACGAAAGGCAAAAAGGCGGATCGTGGAAGTGCGATTTTTTGATTTCGACTTTTCGTCCGGACTCGTCGTCGTTATTCAGTCTGCGCGATCGGTCCCCTCTGTCTCCTTCCTCTATGTCATTGATCCTCCTGAGCGGATGAATGAACCAAGTCTACGCGACTTTGGGGACTTCTTGGCTACCGTGAATGGGCGCGGCGTTGTCGCGCTTGGGCCTGAAAAAAAAAGGACAGCCGGCTGGTTTTCACGTTCCGTCGGGCCTCGCGAATGGCAACACAAGTGTTCTATTGTACGACTCGGGCTTGAGGCTTCGAGAGCGCAAGAGACCTCGGCGTATTGTCACACAGCTCCTTAACACCATTAACTACGTTTTACCTTAAATTTAACCTAAAGTGGAGGCCCTCTTGACAAATTTTCGGGATTTAAAACGCGACCGGTTTCCCATCGACAATAGCCAACGGGCCCTTCGAGTGACCGCGTGTACTCTTGTTGAGTTGTACTCTTTCTGGCCGATCGTTTGACTGGAAAATCGCGCACAGACGCGCGTTACGTCGTCTAAGGTGGTGATGTGTATCGGAGAATCTTCATTATAATTAACATTTGATGCGATATTTGTAAGTTTTATATATGAGAATGCTATATTTTAATAATTAATTGTTTATAAGCCTTTATTTGCGCGTGTCATTGTGTGTGTGTCATTTGTGTGTGTGGATCAAACTTGAATACAGTATTTACATATTATCTATATTTGAAATAAAATAATTCGAGGCATATAAAAATATAATATAAAGTTATATTAATTCATATCTATTAGTAATATTTTTATATTATTTAATAATATGTTATTTGCATTATGGTATATATTATAATAAAAGGAATTTGCATCGTCACATAATATTAACATAATAATCATTGTTTAATTAGTTAAATAAGTATAATGAAAAATAATTCTGTGATTTCGCTTAAATTTCTGTAATATTAATACGAAAATCATCAGTCTTTTATTATTTAATAAAAATAATATTTAATAAAATGAATATTTAATAAAATATTTAATAAAAATGTAATAAAAATTATTTTTTAGAGTTGCTGTTTATAATACTTTTAAATATTAGAAGAAAATATTTTTTTTGTTTTAATGACAGTTTTTATATGAAATTCAAAGTTTTATTATATTATTTTAAAATCTATATTTTTTAGTAAAGGAGTAATAAATGTTTTGTATCAAGCGTAAAAATATCTTATTTGTGTATTATCTATTTATTAGAGCAAAATTATCGGTATATCAATAAGTACATTTTTAAGGTAGCAAATATATTTTACTTTTATTTAGTTTATATTAAATATATACAATTTTGCTTTTCTATATAAATTATACAAAAATATATCTACAAAGCAATACAATTGTACAAAATATATTTATAATATTTACAACAGTTAAACGCATTCTGAGTTGCATTATCCCGAGTATTTATCGACTAATTTAATTAGTCATTTAACATTTAATTTCCTTATTGGTAAAATCAATGAGAGTTTGAACCTTTCGTTACATTACTTTGCATATACAAAGCTCGCAAACTTATGTGCAGGCTTCTAGATCTACGAGTTAACGATTCTCTCAACGGTATGCTTCGTGCATCTTATATTTCTGAATACCGGAGTTATAATCGCCTCCGGATTCGGAGTCTGATAATCTGCCGTCGTCTCCATCTTTCTCCTCTTGCTGTTTCCTTCATCCGCTTCCGTCAGACTTCTCTTGCAACCTCGAGAGAGATCCCGCACTTCGTATCCGACTGTCTGATTCTGCATAGAGTTTATTCTCGAGAAGTCGAACTTCTCCTCAAAACGGGCGTCTTCGTTCGCGATCGATTGCTCGAGGCGTTCAGTCTCGGCGAATCCACGACCAGATTTGCCGCTATCGCTGCTCTTTGGGGACTTCTTTTCGTCTTCTTCCTGGTCGCACTTGCGGCCGGGCGATTCCTCTCCACAGCTGTCTTTTCGTTTACTGCAGGTTCTCAGACAGCAACACTTCTGATTTTGGCCAGAAGGTAGATCCTCCTTCTTGTACTTTACTCGGCGATTTTGGAACCAAATCTTGACCTGCTTCTCTGACAATCGGAGATTGGTTGCGATTTCGATGCGACGCAATCGCGATAAATACATGTTCGATGCGAACTCCCGCTCTAACTCCAACAGCTGAGTGCTGGTAAACGCAGTTCGAATGCGTTTCGAGCTGTTGGAGCTCGGGGACTTTGGCGGAGGCGTCGGAGTACTGTTGCGGGACGGAGACTCGTTGGGTGCTGAAACATCTGAAGATAAAGGTCATGGGTTAATGGCGTTGTTGCGAGAAAGCACGATAAATTTGATTTTCGTTTCTATCTGATATAGTTCGTGAGATTGAGAAAATATCAGGGAGACGTGCGTAATCTCATACTGAAATAATATCTCGCAAAAATAATATCAAATATTTAGAAATATTTGTAAATTAAATAAAAAAATATTTAAAATAAAATTTGGCTTATATTTATTCAAAATTTATTATTTGGAAATAAACAATGCTTTGTAAATTAATATGTGTAACTTAATGTGGCTTTGGAGTTATTATATTAAAATTTACTAACAATTATAGTGAAAGATTTAATTATCGCGAATTATTGTCGTATAGATAGTAATTTAATTAGTAGTCATATTTACCTGATAATCTACTTGTTGAGGTGTTTAAAGGCGACGGGGGGCTCTGTCCAGGTATCGGTAAGACGGTTAGCGTCGATGGGCTGATCGGCACGGGCATGGTAGGTGGTCTAGGCACCGGTCTAATCGGCTGGTAGCCCAATCCAAGATTAAAGAAATTAAACATGTAATTAGGCAGCTGATTTCCATAATACGGCAGCGGGTACGAAGGTGGCGAGTTGTTGCCGATTAAAGAGTCCACTAGGAAGCTTCGTGACATTTTTCTTTCAATGAAGGATCCTCCGGAAGATCAACACAATTTCTCAAGTCCTGTCCAACTTTAAGCCGTAAAATTCACACACGACACAGTAATCCAACGATCATTGAAATTTTCTCGTCGCACTTAACTTTATGTTTAATCCCAGCTTTGAGTTTAATCAGATTAAACTCTTTCCCGAGAAATGTATTTTGGAATCACAATATTCTTCGAATCCTTTCCGACTCTTTTTCTTCGGATTATCTTCTGTTCTCTTTTTTATTCTCCCCGGATACACAATATTGATTTACATTGTCCTTGAATGTTTTCAACTGTGAGATAAGGTCGAGTCAAAATATTGATTTGCAGATCTTTACTGCACGACGGTGCATCGAGTTCTACATTCTGAGGATCCCGGGCTTATTATATATATACGGGGTGCAAACTCCACCCAGGGGTTGGTTTTTGATCCCGGGCCCTTTTATGCAGGGCCCCGCCCTTCTTCTCCGCGAGGGTGCCCCTTTCGGGGTTCACCCCAACTGCCCTCCCTAGGGAACGACAGTGAGTAGGGCATTTTCTCGCAGCGTTAATTCGACGGGTGGCTAATATCGCCGGAAACTTTATACGGTCTCTTTACCCATCTTTCTATTATTATCGACGCCCCGACCCTTCCGTATCCTACGCCGTTATTTCGGAACACGGCCGATGAACTCAAAGTATGATTTAAATTGACGCACACAATCTTAACAATTAAACTTTCTTTTTCGCTTTGGAAGAGTTAATAAAAAGTTTAATTTTAAAGCTATTCTTGATTCTGAAATTTTCAACTTTAATAGTTTTGCTTTCTTTGCAGCAATAAACGATTGCATGATTCGTTAAAAATAAATATTTTGTTGAAGAGATATTGTTCCACGCGAATTGTTATCGTAAAACACTATCATTATTATTAGTGGATCTCATTAGAGCACGCGTCCCAATGCTGATACAATCGCTCGAACGGTGACCTGAATTCATACAATTTAGTTTTGAGAGCAGCAGAGGGAAGAGAATCCTTTCATCTATTTCTGTGATTTTTCTCTATGGACAGAGATAGAATACGAGTGTCGAGCTTGTTCCATCTTTTCTTCTCGTCGATGTACATCAACTCGGCTTCCTTGGAACGTGCTGAAGAATCTACGCGGGTAATCAGATAAGCTGGAGAAGGAGTCGTCTAAGGACGTTGATCTATCTACTTTGGTTTGCGGAAAGTGTTATTAGTAGCCTTCAGCCGCGTAAAATTAGGTAAATGGCGCAACAATAAATCTCAAAAAATAAATAAAGACAAAATATAAAAATATGATGGAATTTCGTGTGTTTGATCCGACTCTTATCCGACGGGATGTACGTATAAGAAATATTTTTGAAGAAAAAGGAAATCTAGTACAAATCCCGTTTTATCTACTACTCCCTTTAAATAATCTTTTATTTTATGTCTCTGAAAAATATATTTAGAAAAATAAACCTTGAGAAACTTAGGTTTGGTCTTTAAATTTAGTAAACAAAATATTAATAACATGTTGTTAAATATGTTTTTGGAAATTAGTCGAGAACATATGTTTGCGAGCATGATTGTTGATTGCGAGTTGAAGCATGAAGTTATATCCGATTCTTCTTTCGAATATTTACGAGCAATTGAGGAAAATCAGGAAGGTCGGCGAAAAAAAACAAATTTTGCCCAAACGGCATCATTTATCGTCGTTTGTTACATAGGTGGATCAGTTTTTATAGCGGTAAGATTATGTCGGCGACGGGCGTAGGTTTACACTCAGACGTTTCTCCGGAGGGGCGAAACGTAAGTTTATTTCTCGCTGTGGATCGATATTCAGCAGCTTGGCAGATTCAAATCAAATCTCGAAACAGCCTTAGAAACTGAGACTCACTCGGTACCTCTCGCTTATTCCTCTTCTCTTCGTTTACGAGAATTTGCATCTCCGAAGTATCATGCTGATGAAACCTCGCAGCGTCGGGTGGAAATAAAAATCACTGATGCGAAGATAATGAGAGAAAAATGGTAAAAGAACTGCAGAGAATACAAGATTCGTCGTGTAGTTTCATGATTTTAATATGTTGACCGATAAATATTAAAGACCAACAGAGAGAGTTTTGCACACTTGAAGAAATCAGCAGTATATTTTATTCAGTTCCGTTGCGATGATATTTTAATACGACCCTAACACACATAAAATCATGCAAAAGTTACTTTTATCACATTTTTTTGCAGCATTGGTTTTAATGTGTTTTAATTAAATTTTAAAGAGCCTTACAAGAGAGCTCGCAACTTCACAGAAAGAAAAGAATTTCTAATTGTAAGTTCCAAGATTTCTACATCGGACATAGACGTGTATGTTGTCTTTTAATATAATAAAAATTAAAAAATAAAAAAAACTATAAGACAGAATATACAGAAAAATTAGGCGTACCTGCGATTTTATAATTGCTATAGAATCCATTAGTACTGATTCACACAGGTAAAAATCGAATCGTTATTCATAGAACACGTGTGTGCGTGTCTGAAATATTTGAGTGTGCAGCATATTGCATCCGCGTAACGTATTTACATTGAGATTGCCTGTCAAAATCGCCATCGCGGTACAACGAAGCGTGTCGATAGACAGAGAGAGAAGCAATAATGTTTTGGTAATATGCCGCTTGACTTCACACGCGACTAATTTCTTGATTAACCGTTGCCATAATGTATCCATCGAATCGTGCAATATACGAGACGATGCGCTCACAAAGCGGAAAATTAGTGTTTAACATGAAACGCCGTTTCTCGAATATCTACCTTCATTATCACAGTTTCGGCTTCGTCATTACAACCGTGACCTTGTGCGAACGATTTCGCGCCGGGTACACCTGTCAGTGCACTTGAAAATTAATTGCGTGCGACGACACGTTTATTGTTACGGCGGGGGAGGCGCAACATGATGATCACTTTGTGATTGAGATAATACGATATCATCATGATGCATGTAACGAATGATTGATATATCGATAATTACGCAAGTTCTTGAAATTTCAATTATTGTTAAATTTCAATTATTTCAATATGTTTTTAAAAATACGAACAAATAACGAAATAAATAGATAAAATTATTCGATTTAATCAAATACAAAAAAAATAGTTTATTTTTGATTTTTTATTTTATTTTAAGTTTTACATTTGTTATAAAAAGATACTTTAATGTTTTATTACTAGTTATTAAAATTTTGTTATTTTTTTTTTACTATCGTGCTTATTAATAATCAATCTATATCGGCGATTGCGATAATCCTGAGAGCGAACATCATGATATTGGTGGATAATACACCGTATTATTTAGCGCGCTGATGGAGTTGAGAAAGCATAATCGCGATTTCAAACCCTTAACAACACGACTAATCCCATTATCGGAGCATACACGAAGGGGCATAACCCCCGCTCTCTCATATTCCGCGTCCACGTATTAAAAATCACGGTAACGTTATCTTATAAGGCCTAGAGTCGTGAATAATACAATAACGCTTCTCCCCCTTGTCTCAGCATATGTGCGCCGGATCTGCGATTCCGAGGGGTGCCCACAGAACCCTTCATCGTCAGGATCGAGAGTAGGGACCACCCTTCCCATCGCGAAGGGAGCGCCAGGATCATAGTTCTCATCCTGCGGATTCACGTGCATCGTTACCGGCGTATCTCTCGCGTCATTACATAGGAAGGATATTTTAATTTCGTGCACGACCCTCCACCTAGACTCGTTTCATTGGTCGCTCTCTTTTATTCGGGGCGTGACTATCCTTGGATGATTCCGATAGCTGCCCAATCTTTATGTCCGTGAGCTTATGTCCATTTAGAATTTCCGTTTCGAAAGTAGGCTCCGAAAGGCGGCGATTCCGTCGAGAGCATCGAAGCGTCGCGATTTTTAATCAGCCATAACGAAGCGTAGCGTTTTAGAGTGAAAACAATAGTTTATAATATACGATTTTCATTACTTTGAAAGCCATACACATGGTTTACGAGCTGTAACCACTTTGTGAAATTGTAGTGACGAATTTGTTATGTAAGTCAGAAATTATTTATCATGGAAGAATATTTTCCTGTATTTTTCCAAGGATAAAAGATTAAGGATTCTTCAAGTTTAAATAAGAAACCTTACCTTTGACATTTTATATGCTAGTGTATAATAAGAAGCAAGGACGTTGTGTGAACACGCGTATGTAAGATACTCTTCATGTAAGATGTGCAAGGGCGGTGTATAATCTTAAAGAGGAAATTATCTTCGCCAAGTTCTTCCTAATTGGAACACCTTCATACTCAAATTGGATTTTATAAGTGCGGGGCAAAGGGAGATAATTCCCGATTTTGGCACGAGATTCTCTCGACTGCGAGAGGAAATCCAGCATCGATCGGCGCTCAGAATTAATTGAATCAAAGCGACCTGCAGCGGCAAGCTTGGCAATAATCGTTCATTGTGGTCACACGATAGAATCTGCTTATAGCTAATTTGAGGTGAGACCTCATTGCCAATAACATTGGCAAATGACGTGATGACATGAATGTATGACAAATATTTTTCATAATATCTCGTATAATATATTATGTAAGCGTCACGCAAGCAGGTTTTATGCGAGGACCAAAATTGGATATGCAATCTAAACATGGGTTGAAAATTTCTTCCATAGAAATATCCAGAGTAATCGCTGCCACACATATATGATTCGGCTTATCTGAGCGAACTCATCCTCGTTGTGAAACTTTCAAGATATCCTGCTGCGAGGCAATATCGTTGCTGGCAAGCCTTACGAGATACTCTCGAGAATGCAGTCAGACTAAATATTTGAAAACATACGCGGTACCTCGCGTCCTCGAAAGTCGTAAGTTGGAAATGAACTTTACCTTGAAGCTGAAAGTCAAAGTGACTTTCTCACGATCGTTTCGACGATAAATATCCTAACATTAACCTTTCGACGCACTTTGGAAATTACGTAAATGTCGCCAAACACATTAC